GTGGGATTGTCCTTCTCGCTAGCGCGCGCTTTACTTGCACGGATTCACCAATCTTTTTCGTTAATTACTTAGTACTTATTACAAAATAAAAAATTGGTAAAGGACTTTTCTACTCGATTTGATCTCCTCTACCTGTACATGACCGGTGGGACGATTATTGCCAGACACCCTGTATATATCATATAAAAAATATTATTGCGCAACACAAGCGCGGCATAAATGATACGTTATGCAGCGCGACGCATATAGTGCAATATTGACGGCTCATTTCTGAAAGATGCGATTTCAAAACATAATAAAATCATATATGGTTGTATTCAGCGTAAAAAATGCTATAACTTTTGTCATGATAAAAATTTTGAAATTTGTAAAAATAATAAGAAGAGATGGGGGTGAATTAAAAAATATAAAATTTTTTTAAAATCCAGCTACGCGGTTATAAAGCTCATAAAAGACCCCTGGTAGAAATTGCCTTACTGGTGCCATGACATTTGTCAGCGCCATACAAGTTTGCCATGCCACAGCCTTATTCTAAAAAACTAGAAAGATCCATATCAGGGCCATGCTTGTCTGATACATAAATGAGGTAGCATTACTATAAAATTAAATAGGCGTAGATCTGGATTTGACTGGGCGGCCAACACTTGCGCCACATTAGGCCCACATTTGCGCCATTGAACTTTTCGTTTTCAGAAATAGCTTTTTTAATAGTGATCTACGCATGCGTAGATAATTATTTCAGATATTTTTAAACAAACTGCGTCAAACTGCATCATTTTTTGACTGCGTCAAACTGCCTCTACCTCCATACGAAAATGGATGCCATGAAAATAAAATAAAAAATTCGAGCACAAAAATATCGTCAACTTAAAAAATTTAAACGCGATTATTTATATGAACGAGGAAAACGTAATGCATGTAATAAACCAAGTTTTAGCGGTGTAACTTCAAAAGGTATTGATCATGTAATTAATAATATTAAAGCAAATATATATATAACAATAGAAAGAAATGTTTTATTATAATAGATTATATGTTTATTACAATAGATTATATGGATAATATAAATGTAAGAGAAGAATTGAGTGATTTTGATGTAAATCATATGGATGACATAAACGTAGAAGAAGCGTTGAGTGATTCCAGTAATTATACGGACAATATAAACGTAGGAGAAGTGATGAATGATTTTGATGGAAGTGATTCAGAAACTGTGAATGAAGAAATTGATAATAATAATGATCAGAGTGATGTTGATGATCATATAATTGATGAAGAAGAAATCGAAGAAATATCGAAACTACGATCGTGGGCTATTGAATGTAGAATTCCGCTAGTACATCTTGATAAATTGTTAAAAATCCTTCAACAAAGACTCTTGCCTACATTACCAAAATCATCAACAACGTTTTTAAAAACTAGTACCTCATCATATGAAATAAGCAAAATGGAAGACTGCGATAACATTACAAATGGAGAATATTCGTATTTTGGTGTTGAACAAGGATTGCAATCTTGCGTCAATTCTGAATACATTCTGGCAACCTTATCGAATTACAAATTAACATTGATGGAATGAAACTATTTAAATCGCGTATAAAATCTATGTGGCCTATTCTAATCAAAATACATTTCAAGCCAGACATTTATAAGCCCTTCGTAGCTGCTGCTTATGTGGGTAATAGTAAACCCAAATCAATCAATTTTTTTATGAAAGATTTTATTGCTGAAATTAATATCTTGCAAAACAGAGGTACAGTTATAAATAACAAACATTATGATATAAAAATAAAATGTTTCATTTGTGACACACCTGCCAGAGCATACCTTAAATGTATTAAAGGTCACAATGCAAAATATAGTTGTGAACGATGTCTGATAGAGCGTCAAACTAAGCACAAGATAGCCACATATTTAGATGTTAATTGCCCTAAAAGAAGCGATGAAAGTTTCCGCAATTTTTCTCATATGGACCATCATGTAGCAGTGTCACCTTTACTATGCATAAAGCCGCCAGTCAATATGGTCAATGATTTCCTACTCGATTCGATGCACTTGTGTTACCTAGGAGTTATGAAACGTTTAGTTGATGCTTGGATGTCATCTGATTTTAATGTGCAGCTGAGTAATAATCAAAAGAATTTATTGTCAAGTCGAATAGAAAAAATAAGATTTCAACAGCCCGAGGAATTCCACCGAAAAATTAGAGGTATTGAGCACCATGCTAAATTTAAAGCCACGGATTACCGATTTATTTTGTTATTCTGTGGCCCTGTAATATTAAAAGACATTTTAGACAGCGATAAATATAAACATTTTTTATTACTTCATGTAGCGTGTCGAATGTTATCAATGGAAAATGCATTTGAATATACAGATTATACTGAAAAATTACTTACAAAGTTTATTGTGCTAGCAGAAAAACTTTATGGTCCAAAATTTGTAGTCATAAATGTCCATAATTTAATGCATATTTCAGATGATGTAAGAAATATGCAGTGTGGATTAAATTCAATAAGTGCGTTTCCATTTGAAACATATTTAGGACAATTAAAAACTATTATAAGATCACCTCACAATATTTTGGCGCAATTGGCTCGAAGGCTGCATGAAATTAATATATATCTTAATCATTCATGTTCACTTCCATCTATAAATATTTTAAAAGGAAATAAAACAGATATAAAAAAGCTCAAATATAAAGCAGTGATAATAACAACAAAGCCACCAAACAATATGATTTTGTTAGAAAATAACAAAATATGTGAGGTAACTAAAATGTTCACAGAAAATAATAATATTTTATTAGAAATTAAAATATGGAAAGTAAAAAATTTATTATATATTTACCCTTGTGATTCAACGAATTTAAATATGTATGAATTACACCTCAATCCTTTAAAAGAAAAAAAAATAATTTCTGTACATAAAATTAAACATAAATTAATAAGATTATCAATGTTCGACGAAACAAACAGGGAAAAAATATTTGTAATTTTCCTTTTACATTAAATGTATTTTAAAATTTTATTGTATACAATTATAATATAAAATCTTCAAAAAAAAGTTTATATGTATAAAATCTTTTAAAAATAATAAAATATAACTTTAAAAAAAATTGTATATATAAATATATATATAAAAAAATATATAAATAAAATAAATGCGACTCGATAACACGTTTCAGCGCCGCCTCGATAGTGTTAAAAAGTTTAAAACAGTGTCAAGAGTGTAGCAATTTTTTATTAAATAAATAAAATTGCGAGTTTTGTGTGATAATTGTGTGAAAATAAAAATAGTTTGAACAAGAACAAATAGTGAAAGTGGCAGTGTGGCACGGTAAGTATTATATTATTGGAATTAACACACATATATATATCATCCATTTCTTCGATATGAGCTTTCTTAACCTGAGAGAGTGATCAACTTAAACGGTTAATATCTCGTTTCGCGCGGCAGAGCGACAATTTTTTGTGCTAAATTTTTTTAATTTCACGCAAAAACGCGTCGAATGAGCATAATTTAATAAAAATTTGAGGTGAAGGGCCTAAACTAAATAAATATCTTGAAATTAATGTTTAATAATTCTAAATTATTAAAATGACATTTTAAACATGATTCTGAATGTGATTCTAAGCCAAAAATTTAGACTTGTGGACTTTGTATCTAATTTGTTCAATTTTTTTTTTTATCACTAATAATGAGTGTGGCTGCCAGCTTCAGCGTCATATAAGGATATATTTATATATATTTATAGATGTCTGACAATGAGAGTAACGATGATGAAATGATTTATCGATTCAAAATTGTAAGGTTTATTAAACGTGGGAAAAAAGGTCCTACGAAAGAAATTGATATTGTTCCTTCAGCCTGGATTAACTGGGATAAAAAAAAAAAAAATTGAAAGTTTCATTTCTTGGTCCTCCATATACAAAAAAAAATATTAATCAACTCCACGATATGGTAAAACAAGAATATAGAAGAAATAAAACATTTGCTTAATGAAGTTCCTGCGATTACAAAAAACTCTTGCAACCAGTCAGGTATGATAGCATTTTAAAATGTCCAAGCGCTATTTCTCGTTACACCTTCCAATATCACATACATAGTAAAATTTTTTTAAATTACCATTTTTTAGACCAATCACCTACTACGGAGACCTATTGTATGGAATCACCTACTACACCTACTATGCTGCTTGATACGCAATTACCTGTCATATCTGAAAACGATTTAATGGACTATACAAACGACAAAGGTATACAATATTTTTATAAAAATGTTTAAATTTACTGTACACTTATTATAAAGACTAATAAACAGTAACGACATTAATTCTTGTATGTACTAATATTTTATAAATTTAATTTTCAGAACTGAACCCGCTTAACATCAATATAAATATAATTTGGTCAAAATTGTTAATGCTGGAAAGTGAATCAAGAAAAATTAATAAAAGTAAGATTTGTTTACATATTATTCAAATATACAAATCTCGCTGTCGAATTGTTTATGTATGTACATGCAATTTAATTTGTTATTTTTGTTTCACAGAATTAAATTTAATATCGATAAAATTTGAAAGTTTACTACATGATACTAAAATCATAAAAAATAAAATGATAAGCCAGACCAGTTCCAAAATGGATGCAGATAATATGTTCTCAAAAAAATATGAGACAATGCTACCTGCAAAAACAAATGAAGAATTTAAGAATATTAATGTTCAATTAGACAATGATATTGAATTCCGATCCAATTTTGTGAGTTTATTTATTTTACAAAATATAATTTATTATTATTTGAAAAAGAGTGTACATCCCGTTAAAAATTTAAAAATTAATTTTATTTTAGTGTGAACATCTTTATCGTTATGTAGACTTTAATTCAACGTAAACAAAAAATATAACAATGTTATTAAAAAATCTGTATAACGCGCGATGTAGCAATTACATATACTGCAACTAAAAATTATGCATGGCAAAGAAAAATAATAAAGGATGAACCATTTTACACATGTATAGAAGGTACATATATATATATATAAAATTATATAAATAATACTTAAAATAATTCTTAAATGTAAATGTATATTCGCGGATTTTAGATATATTTCTTCAAAAAGAATTTAAAGAAGAAGTTGTATCAAGAAATCATCTTATAAAGGCATTGAGCGCAGCACTTTCTAATGCAAAGGACTGGGAAGGACATAGAAAAGACCGAATCAAATAAATCAAAGATAAAATGCAAAAAAAATTATAATAAATATTTTATAAATATAAATAATATAATATAAATAAATTTTAATAAAAAATATTTTATAAAATATTTTTTGTAAACCTTTATTTTATTATATACTTTTACTTATTACTTGGTGTGTGTATGTATGTGTGTGTCTAATTATGATTAATAAATTTAGATTTAT